GACTCGATGGTACCTGACAACAACAACAAAGAGCTCCTTAATATTGAAGAAACAATTCCAGAGGCTCTGGGTTGATGGAGCTTTCCTTTGCATTGGTGTGTAGCCTCCCTCTCACTGGCCCTCTTCCTCTCTGGGGTTGTTCCCTTCTCTCCTCACTTCATTTTAGCTCCTTTCCCTGAAGTGATTGCAGTACATGCTGCTCTTGCAGAGGAACTGTTGTGATTGGTCCCACGCTCCCGGGGGGCTCTCAGCTGCAGCTTGTATGTGGACGCCTTCCCACTTCTGCTTCCAGCCCCTTCCTCTGCTGAGTTTCTGTCCTGTTATGTAGCTGCCACTCAGCGTCTCCCTGTGGAATGGCCCCAAGTGTCTCTGTGTACCTTAAGCCCAAACACTTGTCTCTCCACCTCATCTGTTCTTCTGACCCATCACCTTTAGCCAGGTGCTCAGTCTAGAGCCAGAAGTTTTTATTGGCTCTTCCCTCTTTCTCATGTTCTGGGTCCACCCAGGTCCATGCTCTGCCCTCTGCCCTTTGCCTGTTGACATGCTCTCTACATCAAGGCAGTGCCGGGTCAGTCTCTCTCAGGACTCCCCAATTTTGTGGCAGAGTACCCTCGGGGCTCCCTGTGTCTCCAGCTTGCTCCCGTTTCTAAGTGGACATGCAGGTCCATCCGGTGCTCAGCTCTCTCCTAAGGGGATTAGGTCCTGTCTGTCCTGCCCCCTCCACTGCCATCCCACCAGACTGCTGCTGACAACATGAAAAACAGCAGAATGTGTTTGTGGTTAGAGGGTCCAGCCACAGCAGCCAGCACACAACACAAGCATGGCCACCACTGACCGTGATTGTGTCCCCTTCCAGGAAGGCATTGTGCTGGGCTGTTTCGGGGGTCATGTCCACTGCTCTGTTGCTCGGTGCTTTGTTCATTCTTTCATGCGGTCTCTTCTTTCCTTCTCCTTGTGAGTTGGATGAAGGTTGACGGAGCGGATGATCAGTTTTCCATTTAACAGCTCACACCCATTTTGTTTCCCTCACTGACTGCAGTCCTCACAGTGTGACATCACTCATCCCAGTAACTCCCTGCGGTTCCTGCTTCCCTTCCTCCTTTCCTAACCCTTCTGAACTTGGTCCTTAGCTAAGTGCTGTCCTTGTCATCTCAGGTGTCTGATTATTGTAAGGTCTGTGTACCTCCCTAATGTCATTGTACCCTTGATGAATCTGTCTGTTGGTTGGTTGAAAACTGAGCCACAGGGATGAGTTCAGGGTTCCACCAGTAAGCTTGATCTTTTTGATGATTTTGAGTTTTGTTCCTCATTTTCCTCCCCACTCTTGGGGGACCTTCTATTGTGAACCCTTTCAGAGCAGTTGGTAGTGGGAGCTGGATAGCATCTCAGGGTCCTGGAGCCTGGGCTTTAGGGTTTACGTAACTTGTGAGTCCTTTGGGCTCATTGTTTTCACGTGTCCTCGAGTTTTTCTCCTTTCTTTGCTCTGGGTCATTCATGTAGTCTTTTTTTTTTTCAATTTTTATTGTGAATTGAGTAAAGGTTAAGAGACAAGATCAAGTTTACATTCAACAAATTATACACTTTGTTTCCTCTCAATGGTTACAATCCCCTCCCTTCAACAACAGTCATCCTGCTTCCTCCCTGTGACTTCCCTTTTACATCTTATATTTGACAAATGAACAAAGCAAAAATATTTGATGTACACATACAAAACAAAAAATACATATTCATTTAAATGTCCTAAGGGCATATTCTGCAAGCCAGTTTCACACAGCCTTATTCCACCCCATTTTTTGGCAAAAAATATTTTATTGAGCACAGATTATTAACTGTTACTGTGCTAAAGACTCCTGTCTGGCCGACTGATTGGAAGAGATCCATATTTGTGCCCATTCCAAAGAGAGTCATTCATGTAGTCTTGGGAGCCGTTTCTTGTCGGTGATGAGCTACTTAGCACCAAGTGATAGAGTGCTCCCTGCTTATACCCCCACCAGTGCATCTCTGCTTCAGAGAACACATTCTCTGGTGTTTCGCCCATTAGGTCATGCGGAAGTCTCATGAGGCTCGTGAGAAACTGCTACGTCTAGGAATTTTTAGACAAGTGGACGTTTTGATCGATACGTGTCAAGGTACGTAGTGTGGTGCATACCTCTGGTTTCTCCCTTCCAGCTCCAGGCTTACAGAAACATGAGCAGAGGCCAGAGCTGACCCAACAGAAGGGTCTCTGGGAAGTGGCTGGGGTTTGTCTGGCCACGGGGTGCCGTGCTGAACTGTGGAGGTGCTGAGTCCCTGACCCACACCAGGGCTCTGAGTGAAGGATGGAGCCAGGCTGCGTCTACATAGGCTCTTGGTCCACCTGTCTCAGTGCATGCTTTACCCAAAGAGCCACTAGGAGGCAGATTTCCACTTTAAAGTCTGCTCCTCTGTGTGGTGCTGGCCTCTCTCAACTTGGTCAGCATTCCTTCTTTTATTATGACGGGATGGACCTGCCAGGGACCCAGCAGGAAACACATAGTCTGCTCTTAGAGAGCTTGTGGGTAGGAGACAGCCTCGGGTCAGGCAAACCCAGGGGCTTTGGTAGTATATGCTGTAAGCGGGGTTAGAGGAGGGAACCTAACCCTCATCCAGCAGGGTGGGACGGGATGGGGATCACAGACGGGCCCCTGGAAGTGGTGACATACAAGCTGAGTGAGTTTGGGAAGCAGAGCCTGGGGGAGGGGAGGGCTGGAGCGTGTCCAGGGAGAGGGGTCGCATGTAAGGCTCACGAGGACCTCGTGTGCTGCAGTCGAGTGTGACCCGCCCTCTGTCTTCTGTGTACAGAGGAGGTTGTACAAGAAAAGGAACAGTTTTTAGCAGTGGGACCAAAAATAAGATGACAGATTATGGCTGTCTTATTGTCTGGTATGTTTATCTCCTTAGGTGACGATGCACTTCCAAATGGTTTAGACGTTACGTTTGAGGTGACTGAATTGAGGAGATTGACAGGCAGCTACAACACCATGGTTGGGAACAACGAAGGCAGTATGGTACGGTGTAGGGTTTTCTTCTTAGGGTCTTAGGATTGGAACTCAATTAGGAGTTATTAAAATTGGACCACATTCTTAACGCCGGTCGTAGTTTGGGATTGCACACACCTCAGTCTTGATGGCGGGAGCAGCCTGGTGTTCCTGTGATTCCTCGGCACTCTTCAGACTCGGTTGTAATGTATTTGGGATTGTTTAAGGAACCCTGGTGGCACAGTGCTTCACTTGGCTGCTAACCGAAAGATTGGTGGTTCAAACCCACCAGCTGCTCTGTGGGAGGAGACGTGGCAGGCCACTTCCATAAAATGAGGAAACCCTGTGGGCCAGTCTGCTGTGTTCTGTCAGCTCACTGTGAGGGGATCGCCTTGACTATGAAGGGTAGCTGGGTCTCGGGTGCTTGGGTGTTAGTGTTCCCCTCAGAGATTCATGAGGAATGGTTTGGGGAACTACAGTCTCTTGTTCAGGTTTTCCTAAACCCTCAGCCCCTAGGGTTGATGTCCTTGAGCATCACAGCTAGCAGGTGCCACCTGTCACTCACTCGTGCTCTCAGCAAGATGTGTCTGAGAGAGTAAGAGCCAGTGAAAGACCGGGTCTGTAGTCCCCATGTGTGTTGTGTTGTCCCCATGTGTGTTGTGTTGTCCCCACGTGTGTTCTATAGTCCCCACGTGTGTTCCGTAGTCCCCACGTGTGTTTTGTTGTCCCCACGTGTGTTCTGAAGTCCCCACATGTCTTCTGTTGTCCCCACGTGTGTTTTGTAGTCCCCACGTATGTCCTGTGGTCCCCACGTGTGTTCTGTTTGTCTGAGAAGGAGCCCTGGTGGTGGTGTGGGCTGGACATTGGGCTGCGGACCAGGTCAGCAGTTGAAACCCACCAACCGCTCTGCGATTGAAAGGTGAGGCTGACAGCTTCCATAGAGCTGTGGAGTCTGAGAAACACAGTGTCGGATTGCTATGAGTTGGGTTTGCTTTTCATTGTGGCCAAGTTGGCTCTGATTCCGAGTGAATCAGACAGATGACAGACGAGAACATTGCTCTGTCCAGCTCCAGCTCCATCTGTTGTCTCTGATACGTCTGAGCTAGCATGGTCTTTATCTGATGCAGTTAGCCCTTCATTTTGGACCATAGCTGGTTTTCTTTTCCTCCTTAGGTACTTGGCCTCAAGCTCCCCAATCTTCTAGGCCGTGCGGAAAAGGTGACTTTTCAGTTTTCCTACGGCACAAAAGAAACATCCTACGGCCTGTCCTTCTTCAAGCCCCAGCCTGGAAACTTTGAGAGAAAGTAAGCAGCCCAGTAGCTTGTTGAGCCCAGTGCCTGGTGTAGCTGTTACAGTAGACGGCTTGTGTGTGGCCCAAAGCCCCCAGAAGAACCGGGGCTCCCCAGTGTTTCCACATGTGCTCGCTTTCCTTGGGGAGAGGAGCCCCTGATGCGGGTGGTGTTTGCATCTGTTGACTTCATTGTTTCCCAGTGGTAGTCACTGTTTCTGCTTTTAAGGTTGTGTCCTGTTGTCTCCTAGCTTCTCTGTGAACTTGTATAAAGTTACGGGACAGTTCCCCTGGAGCTCGCTTCGGGAGACGGACCGAGGACTGTCAGCCGAGTACAGCGTAAGTGCCACTTCAGTCATTCCCCAACCAGCGTCCTGTCTCATGATCCCCAAGGGTGCCTCGGTCAGCTGCGGTTCCCAGCAGGAAGTGTTGAAGGAGCCCGACCACTGTCACCGTGGTATCACTTGGTCTGTGCGTCCTTTCACCTGGGTTAAGGTTGATGGCATCTGATCACTGGACACTTGGGTTCATTAGCGAAGGAGGGACTAACACGGGATGCATGGCCCAGGCCCCGAGGCTCTCCTCGCCCTACTGCACTCCTGTTGTAGCTTTGGTCCACGGGCCTTGGCCTGGAGACAAGTGCCACACCCGAGTGCACGCAGCTGCCCACGCATAGTCCCCAGCCATGTGGTTGGTAACCGCCATTGAGTCAGTTCTGACTCATAGCGACCCTGTCTAGGGTTTCCGAGGAGCCTTCCTGACCTCTGCTCTTGCTGTGGTCCTCGGACAGTGAGGGCCGAGACCTGCCACCTGGGGACCTGCCTGGGCTGGCCCCTGCTCTGCTGCTCGGGCCGTGAGCCCCTGGGGCACTCACTTAGCAAATACACTGCCCCCCAGTCTCTTCGCACTTGCCCCCACCTGGAAGACAGTGGAACTGCCCCTTGTGCTTCCCAGGTTGTCCTCTCTGAAAGCAGGCTGTTCTGCCCTTGTCCTGGGAACAGCTGCTGTTTCCCAACCGTAGACGGTTCAGCTCCAGCCCAGCGCTTACTCGAGTGTGCCACCAGGGCGCTGTCTGTGGAACAGGCTGCCCGACATGGCCCCTGAGGCTGCTGTGAAGGGGAAAGAGAGAGACAGGTAGAGCTCCACCCTCTGTGCTGGGCCCTGGGAAAAGGCTCAGTGCTAGGACCACCCAAGGCCGTGATCATGGAGCAGGGGCCTGCCTGATTTTGGGGGCACTAGGCTGCGAGCCGGAGTCCTGGGGTGGCGCTGCAGGACAGTGCTCTGGACTGGAGGGTCAGCTTGAATCACAAAGTCAGCAGTTCAAACCCCCCAAGCCATTCCTTGGAAACCCTATACAGGGTCGCTATGGTTAGGAACCTGCTGGATGGCACTTAACAACAACAACAAGGCTGGGTGCCAGGCAGTCAAGACACACACATCCCTAAACGTTCATGTTGTCTCTGTGTTGCCCTTGTCTGGGAGTGAGTGGCCCGTATGCTCTCTGCTGAGGGCCCTGTCGTGGGACTCTGAGGGGTACACCCGCAGTGAGGCACTGCAGATTGGCACCCAGGCATGCTGCCCCCAACGTTCTCCTGTGGGCACCCCCGGGCCCCTGCTCCCCAGCCTCTGTCAAAGAGTAGAGATTCTCAGAGGGGAAGCTTCTTGTATCTACATGGAAGGGTGGGGCAAGGAGGGCCCAGAGCTGGACGGGGTGGGAGCAGGCCCACAAAGGTGATGCGGACAAGCAGAGAGCACTGTTTGAGGAGCTGGGTGTGAGAGGAAAAAGAGATGTGGCTAGAAGTCTTCTGGGAGCCACCAGCTCCTGGCGCACCGTGTGTGTGAGAGAGCTTCGCTCCACAGGGTTTCCAGTGGTTGCTTTTCAGACTCAGATCACCAGACCCTTCTTCCCAAGTGCCTCTGGGCATTGACCATGTGACTCAGAGCAGGGAGCTGAGGAGGGGCCTTCGGAGAGGTGGTCCTTGAGGTCAGCCTGGATGGAAGGGCAGGGCTGGCCTGTCACACAGTCAGTGTGCCTGGGAGAACCTGGTGAGGTCAGCTGTGGACCTCCCCAGATACCCGGGAAGTCATCCCGCCCCTTTTGCTTCCTGGTGCCCGGCACACTATCTTCCATGCACTCGATGAAACATTTCATTGAGGTGGGGCTGACTGGGCCTACAACCCTGCCCACCCTGGAGACTCTGGGTGAGTTGTCTCCCAGGCCTGAGGCCCCAGAGAAGGTGACAGCTACCCCGTCTGCTCTGGTGGACGTTTCTCTAAGGTAGACATCTCAGACAGGTTGTCATGGCTTCAGGGAGTCTCCATCTAAGGGGCCCATCCATGTGCCCTGACCCCAGAGTCCCCCAGCACTAGCTCCTTCTCTTCCCACTCTTCTCCAGGCTGGGGTGGTCATCTGAGTTCAGACAGGGGCTCGGGCACTGGGTAGAATGTGTGTCGAGTCCTCTTACAAAGGTGGCAAAGCAGAGATGCGTGTTGGTGTGCAAGTTGCACGCAGCTCTAAGATCCATGACCGCAGGTCTCCCTGGACGCAGGCAGGCTTCACGGGGCTGACAGTGCACTGCGCTCCCTTTCTCCTCTCTCTGTACCCCCCCCTCCTTCCTTTCCCTATGTTCTCTTCCTCCCTCCCTCCCTTTTAAAAGAAGCTATCTTTGATATCTAAGGAGCTCTGGTAGTATAGTGGTTACGAATCGGGCTGCGAACCACAAGGTCAGCAGTTCGAAACTACCAGCTGTTCCGCGGGAGAAAGATGAGGCGTTCTGCTCCCGTAAAGATTTACAGCCTCGGAAACCCTGTACAGGGTCGCTATGGGTTGAAAGCGACTCCACGACATATAACAACAACATCTTTGATATCTAATTAATTAATTAGGTTAGGGACACTTCATTACAGAAGGTGATTGGGGGGCAACTTCCCAAAGCCCGGGCAGTAGGAGAAGATTCTAAATGTAGGATGGTGACTGTCATCCCTTGTGTCCATAGTTTCCCATCTGGAAGACGAGCCACGCTGTGAAGTGGGAAGGCGTGTGGCGTGAGCTGGGCTGCCTCCCGAGAACAGCCTCATTTGCTGTCCGGAAAGAAAGTGGACACTCGCTGAAATCCTCTCTCTCGGTGAGGGCTCCTGTTGTGAGGTGCTGTTGATGGGTTCCGACTCACAGTGACCCCAGGAAGGACAAGGAAACAAAACACCACTCGGCCCGGAGCTGTCCTCACCTCGGCTCAGACCTGAAGCGCTTTCTCGGCAGTGGAGGGTTTACTGACAGGTGTACACATTCTGCTCTGAGGAGAGAGCAAGGTGGCTGCTGGGAGTGGCTGAGAGCCAGGCTCCGGGCGCCCTGTGAGTTTATGGCCTGCTTTCTCATGTCGTGTTTCTGAGTTTCATCTGTGGTCATGAAGAGACGTGTGCCTGGGAGCTGACGTGGTGGAAGCTTCCCAGAGAGTGACAGTTGCCTGCGTAGGCATGAGTCGGGGTGTTGGGCTCCCTGAGAGAGAGGCCCACGTGGGTAAACGCTCATTCATCTTCAGCCCCATATCCTACCCTCCTAGGGCCTCCGTCTCCATGTAAAATGGGGGTCCAGAGGCGGCCCTCCTTGCTGGGGTGTTACCAGGGTGGAATGGCACAGTGCCTGTCTTCTGGCTGATGCCCTGTGAGTGGTGGTTACTGTGAACAGCTGTGTGAACTGACAGAGCCTCAAACGCTAATGTCTTTCAGCACACGATGGTCATCGACTCTCGGAACTCTTCCATCTTACCAAGAAGAGGGGCTCTGCTGAAAGTCAACCAGGTAGTATCCCTTCTCCTGTCCCTTTGTGGGCTGGAGGATAGTCCAGCCTGTGACATGAGAGGAGGTGTCTGCAGGCATGGAGGGCCCTGGGGACAGGGAGCCATCTGAGGGTCAGCAGTGTGCATACTACGCATCTTCCTTGTCTGTGAGCTCCGAGCTGCCAGTTTCCCTTGTTGGCTTCCCTGACTGGGCTGGGGAGACGGTGCTGAGATGCAAGTTCTCACCCAGGCTTCTGCCTGAGCTCCAGCCACTTGTCACCGTGAGTGGCAGACGCCCAGGCAGCCTCTTCCATCCCAGAATTTATATCAAATGTCCCTCTTTGTAAAGGTTGGCTAATAATAATTCTTTTTCCCAAACACTGCTTCCACTGATCCAGGCCCATGCGCTGTGAGTTCTGCCATGCGGTGTTCCTTTAGCCACTGCTGGGCCATGTGGGGGCAGCGCAGACTCTGGTCAGCCAGGAGCTTTGAGAGCCACCTTCTTCCTCTGTGTCAGCCCTCTGCTACTTTCTGGAACAGTGGGAACATAGTTTGCAGGAGATAGAACTGCTCATTCAGCACACTGAGACTAAGACGTTCCGTGGCCCTGACTGGACTCTCTCCCACAGGAGCTGGCAGGCTACACGGGAGGAGACGTGAGCTTTCTGAAGGAAGACTTTGAGCTGCAGCTGAACAAACAGCTCGCATTGGATTCCGTGAGTATCTAATAAAGCCAGACATAGTTGCCTGTGTTTTTACCCCTCTGTTTTGGAATTGGGTGGGAAAGTCTTTGTGCCTGAATCTCAGCTCTGAAGTAGAAGCTCTGAGCTTTGGTGCAGTAGCTGGAGTGCTTGACCAACTTGGCTAGGTAGTCTGGAGTGAAGTCAGTCCCTTCCAACAGGTAGCTCACGGGGAGCAGAAGAGCCCACTCTTCCCTTGGCCTTCTGCCCCCGACATCAGCGCAGACATGTCTTCATCCAGCCTTCTCACAGCTCCCAGATCAGGGGGGCTCTTCCACTGGGTTTACATCTCCTGCGCTATTCCCCAAGGGAGGGCTCACTTCCACCTGACCATCCACCCACCATCACTGTCCATCCATCCCTCATCAGCCAGCCGTCTGTCCATCCATTCCCATATCCATATCCGTCCATCCCTCATCAGCCAGCCATTCACCACCCGTTCATTTATCCTTTTACCCACTGACCTACCATCCGTCCATCACTCAGCAAAACAGACGACTTGGGGTACCGACACTCACGTTAGTGTAAGTGAATCCATGAATGTAGGCGTTAACATGTGGTAGGAGGGGTGCAGGCGTGTGGAGTTGTGGTTTTACATCAGCATCATGGCGTGTCTCAGCACACACAGGGGATAGAGTTGGTGGTCACCAGGCCTCGGGCGGGAAATGGAGTTGAGGTGATTACATGTTGGAGAATTGTAACCATGGCCATGGGATTGTTGTTGCGTGAGGAGGAAAGCAAGGCTCTAAGGGAGACAGGGAGAAGGTGGGCTCACAGGCCTTGGTCTCCTTGGTCTTGAAGAGTTTGGGCAATGGGGACTAGAGGGTGTGAGCTAGAAGATAAGGTGGTAGTTGGAGAGGGTGACCGGAAGGCCTTAGGCTTCTTTTGGTCCCTAAGATACAACACCATATTTTACACAAATAACGCATGCATGGGTGATGTGGTGGTTTTTACATTCCTTCCCTTAGTTTCCTATGTGCGCTTATGGACCTTATTTCTATGAATGTGTTCTGTGTAAACAGTATGGTAAATTTGATGTGAGACTTGCTGGGATGGCTCCAGTTAGTTCTGAGGGGGAAGTGTATATCAGCCTCTGTGTCAGCAAGGGGGAGTCACAAAGGAAGTAGACAGTCAGCTTCCTGTCGAGGTGGGAGAACCAGAGAGGAAGTGGACTCTCAGCTTCCTGTTGGGATGGGAGAACCAGGGAGGAAGTGGACACTCAGCTTCCTGTCGGGGTTAGAGAACCAGGGAGGAAGCGGACACTCAGCTTCCTGTCGGGGTTGGAGAACCAGGGTGGAAGTAGACACTCAGCTTCCTGTCGGGGTTGGAGAACCAGAGAGGAAGTGGACTCTCAGCTTCCTGTCGGGATGGGAGAACCGGGGTGGAAGTGGACACTCAGCTTCCTGTCGGGGTGGGAGAACCAGTGAGGAAGTGGACTTTCAGCTTCCTGTCAGGGAGGAAGTGGGTGATTAACCTGCATGTCAGGGAGAAGTGGGTAGTTGGCTTTCATGCCAGGCAGGGAGGGTCAGGGAGGGCATGCTTTGCTAGGAACTCTTGCCCCTCTGAAGCGTCCTGCTGAGGATAGTGTTGAGGCCTGGGAGCCATCTTACTGGGAGCCTCGGAGCCCTGTGGGCTGCTGTCAGCTGTGCCCGGGACGTTGTGGAAGCCAGGGGTGAGGAGTCCATCCACGATGACTTCTTTCTCCCTCTGTTCCTGTCTAAAGCAGTGTTGAGACTGCTGAGGGGAGCTATTTCTGAGGGCTTTGAACCTGCGTCCCTGTTGAGTAGTATCCATCAACAGCAGGCTGAATAGATGTTCCAGGTCCTGGAGCGGACTCTAGTTAGGTTCCTCAGGTTGACTGCTCAGCCAACTCTAGTGCGGTCTTCAGCTGTGATCCTTCCTGCTGCCGGGAGGGAGAAAGGGGGCGTCTAAGCTAAGCAGCTCTACGGGTGTGCAGGACACACTGACGTGCCAGACAGGATGAGCAAGAGGCTCTGAGAGGCAGGCAGTCCCAGGGCAGACAGCCCCCACTGAATCACCAATCTACTGTTGGCCTTTCCCTGACTTGTGACCTTTCAGAAGCAGGTTCCCAGGCCTTTCTCCAAGGCGCTGCTGGCTGGGTTCGATCCACCATTCAGCTCATAGTTCAGTTTTTTACTGCTTGTGCTCACAGGAACTTGGCTTCGTGCAGTCTGTCTGTATATGAAAGTTGAAGTTGCATGGTTTGACTTGCCTACATCCTCCTCTGGACCATACGAACTGGATTCGTACGTGTTATACACTGACTCATGCCTGTTGGCCCAGAGGAGATGCTGGACCCAAACAGCTGTGTGTTTATATCCCAATAGGTCATCTCAGCCTCCTTCTGGGGTGGAATGTTGGTGCCCATTGGTGATAAGCCATCAAGCATTGCTGATCGGTGAGTGAGAGGGCCTCGGGATTGTTGGCCAGTGCCTTCCCTTAGGGCATTGGTTGATGTCTAAGGAGACATTTTAAATCTACCACCTTTGAGTCAGTTCCAACTCACAGTGATTCCGTGCAGGGTTTGCCAGGCTGTAAGGGTGTTTGGGAGGATCTCTGGTAGCAGAGTGGTTATGAATCGGGCTACAAACCTTAAGGTCAGCAGTTCGAAACTACCAGCCACTCTGCGAGAGAAAGATGAGGCTTTCTGCTCCTGTAAAGATTTACAGCCTCGGAAACCCTATACAGGGTCGCTATGAGTCGGAACTGACTCGACGGCACTTAACAACAACAACAAGGGTGTTCGGGGGTAGGAGGCCTCATCTTTCTCCTGCAGAGCAGCTGGTAGGTTTGCACTGTCGACCTTTCAGTTAGCAGTCTACTGCTTATCCTACAACGCCACCAGGGCTCTTTTAGAAGACATTTTAGGAAGGTGAGTTATTTAGGAGAACAATAGTTTTGCATTTTACTTTAGTTATTATTTTTAAGTTAATCACAAAATACTCTGTATAACTTAATATTTTTTATACTTTTTTGTAAGGGAACGGAAAGGTTACTTAGTTTATATTTAAAAACTTGGCTGATTGTAAAAGGATACAGTTCACATCCATTGTTGTTATTAGGTGCCCTTGAGTCGGTTCTGACTCACAGCGACCCGATGCGCTGTCCAGTCCTGAACCATTCTCACAGCGGCTGTTAAGCTTGAGCCCATTGCTGCCACTGTGCTGATCCATCTCATGGGGGTCTTCCTCTTTTTCACTGGCCCTCCACTTTACCAAGCATAATGTCCTTCTAAAGAATGAGAGACAAAATACATCCAAAGTGTGCAAGACACAGTCTCAGTGTCCTGGCTTCTAAGGTGTACTTCTGCCAACTCGGATTTGTTTGGCAGTCCGTGGTACTTTCAGTATTTTTCAACAACGCCATAACTCAAATGCATCGATTTTTCTACTATCTTCCTTATTCACTGTCCAACTTTCACATGTACATGTGTTACTGAAAACACCATGTTTTGGGTCAGGCACACCTTAGTCTTTGCTGTTCAACACTTTAAAAAGGTCTTGTGCAACCGATTTGCCTAATGCAGTATGTCATTTGATTTCTTGACTGTTGCTTCCGTGAGTGTTGATGTTTGATCCAAGAATGATAAAGTCCTTGATAACTTCAATCTTTTCTCTGTTTATCTTATTATTTATTGGTCCAATAGTGAGGAGTTTTGTTTTCTTTATGTTGAGGTGCAATCCATACTAAAAGCTGTCATCTTTGATCTTTATCAGTAAGTATTTTAAATTCTCTTCACATCCAGCAAGCAAGGTTGTATTATCTGCATATGGTGATATTAATGAGTCTTTCTTTAGTCCTGATGCCACATTGTTCTGCATATAGTCCAGCTTCTTGGATTATTTGCTCGGTGTACAGATTGAATAATTATGGTGAAAGACTACGACCCTGGCGCACGCCTTTCCTGATTGTAAACCATCAATGTCCCCAGTTTAGTTGTGTTCGAACAAATATTTGTTGATCTTTGTACAGGTTCCACAGGAGCACGATCCGGGGTTTTGGAATACCTGTTCTTCACTGTTTGTTATCCATAACTTATCATGATCCATACAGTCGAACAAGCAAACTAAACATTGCTCTGGTATCTCTGCTTTCAGCCAAGAGCCATCTGACGTCAGCAGCGCTGTCCCTCATTAACATCCTCTTTAATCTGGCTTGAATTTCTGGCAGCTCCCTGTCACTGTACTGCTTGCATGTGATACTAAAGATATTGTGCGACGTATCACATACCGTGCAGAAAGACAAATTACGAGCGTCAAAGATATTGTGCGACGTATCACATACCGTGCAGAAACACAAATTACGAGCGTCAAAGATATTGTCTGATGTTTCACATACCGTGCAGAAAGACAAATTACGAGCGTCAAAAAGACACTGTCGCCCTCACTGAGAAGCAGAAGTAGCATTGGAAGCTCTTCTTTTGAGTGGACATTAGTGGTTGTGTTGGTGGATGTGTAGACCCACTGCTTCGCGTCCCTTCTGATCCCAGCACCTCTAGGGGTCAGACTACAAGTGCCCTACAGACTTTCCCAGGCTGTCGTCTCTACAGAAACAGACTGCCACACCTATCCCCGGTGCAGTGACAGCCTGCCGATTAGCAGGCCAAGGCTTAATACGTCACTGGGTGTACGTAAATTCATGATGCCCAGTAAACTGTGGAAATACTGCATTCTGCTTAATACGTCACTGGGTGTACGTAAATTCATGATGCCCAGTAAACTGTGGAAATACTGCATATCGCTTAGTTTCATGTCTTTTTTTAAAAAAAGGTTTTTTTAAGAAACTAGGGTAGCCCGTTCACCAAGTCATGGAAAATTCTTCAGCAACATTTTCATGCATAGTCTTTGATTATTTGCATATACTATAACTTTTTAGTCTGCTCCTACTTTTGGATGTTTCAGCTTTCCTTTCAATGGGTTTTACAAATAATACTGTGAAGAATAACTTTGTAAGTCATTAGTTAGTTGTTCATTTGATTATCTGAGATGAGTTTCCTAAATATGAAAATATGGTCTGGAAGAATCCGAACATTTTTACAGCGTGTAAAGAATGTCCCTGAGTCCTCCTTTTAGAAAGGGTGTGCAGTTGTATGTGTTGTTCTGAACTACTAATCATTGCCCCTTAGGGAAAGAAAACCTTATTTTTATAAAACCCTTATTGAAAATGTTGTAACTTTTACTGGTTCAGCTTGTGTGGATGGTGATTTGGAAGTTTGCACATTTAAATTTGTAAACAAACTTACCAGCATCTGATTTACAGAAATGCTTTTATCAGTGTGCAGAGATGATGCTCACGGCTGTGTGTCATAGCGTCCTTGTGAATAATGTCAGTGATACAATTCTAGCATAGTCATTCGACAGGCTACTGATTTTCAGAAACGCAATCACTGTCCTTAAGTAGTGAACTTGTAGATGAGAATCCATAGTTGGTCCCTTTCTCATTTGGGGCCCCACACACCAGTGAGTGTATGTGTGTACAGGGGTAGCCGTGGAGGTCCAGAAGGATGCCCACTAAACCACTGACGCTGGCCAGCTCTGGGATGTAGTGGCCAACAAGGCAGGGGAAGGGCCTTTTCTAAAGAACATGTGTGCTACGTCTGTATTTTGTTGGTATTAAAAGCACTTGTTGCTTGTTTTCTGTAATTAACATTAAAGGACACATCCAGAAAGGCTTTGTGTGGAACCCCACCCTGCCCCAGTACTGAATAAATCCCCATTTAAAGATTCATCAAGTCAGGTTCTAGCAGCTCTGGTGGAGCAGTGGCTACAGCACTCGGCAACCACCCAAAAGGTTGGAAGATCGGAAACACAGTGCCCAGGCTCTGCTCCCCCAGAGACGGCAGCCTTGCTGAGACACTGGACACACCTCTCTGTGATCTCCGGGAATTAGTACTCGGGTACTGTGATCTCTGGGAATTAGTACTCCGGTACTGCGATCTCTGGAAATTAGTGCTCTGGTACTGCGATCTCTGGAAATTAGTGCTCGGGTATTGCAATCTCTAGGAATTCATTAGTACTCGGCTACAAACTTGGGTGCTGCACCGTTTCAGAGGAAATGGACAGGGTTTCTATGTCATGTTTCATTTATGCCCTGAATTCACTTTACTCAGCCAGCCCAGGAAGGAAGGAGCACAAAAGGAATTCACTTTGGAAAATTATAATACTTTGCTTTTTGGATAAAAAATCCTTGTT